GAATGCTATTATCTACGAATTCCACCAGATTTCCAAGCATCCATACTCTTCCTGCGCCCGAGCTGTTTCCTTTCATTACTCGATAACGGCAGACGACGTTACGCGGAAACTAGTACGGAGGCGATTGTGACCGGACAAGGTATTTGTTTTTGGTGGTTAAATATAGGTTTCTTTATTAATTAATACGTTAATGGATTTTTGTGCAGATTATGATTACAATATCAAAGTTCAAAGAAGTTGTGATGGGGTGGACGTATCAGCTCAGACTAATAAATCCGTGATGTCTGAGGAAAGATACGAAACCAAAATGCGAGATGCCGAGACCCAAGTTGATATTTTGGATCTCCCTATGCTCTTGGAGATACTGGAACAAATGTTGATTCAACTTCCTAAACATTTTGCATCTGAATTGCGCCAGAACTTTTTGCCAGCATGTGGGATCTTTATGGATCGCAAAAATTTGTATGCTAATGAAAGTAGGATGCGTTCATTATCACCTACATATTTCTCTCCCGAATCATCGTCGTTATCAGCGTCGTCAACACATGAGCATTCCACAACCGACCAACATAAATTTAATTTTGGTGCATCTGATTTTTCGGAGGCGTCAATAAATTCTTCAGCATTAGGTATGGATACTACTAAGCAAGCCCGATCTGAACAGTTAAAAGCTTCTATGTTTCCATCGGCAACTTCAGCGTCTTCTAAAAAGGGTAAGGAACCAATTAATTCGGATCAGCCGAAAGAACGTACGACCCCTTCACCCACGGCATCGACATTGAATAATTGGGAGCAATCAACCAGAATTTCTTCATTAAGCAAGGAGTCAACGACTCCAGAGGTTAAGAAGAAAACGAAAAAGTCCAAAGCTTCCAAACAGTCGGAGAAAAAGAATTCAAGACTCAATGGATTCAATAATGATTGGAATAAGACGAATCACGATTGTACGGATGAGTGGGATGTTTCGACTGATCCTGCACCATTTGATGAATATGAAATTCTTGATGTAAGCGGTGACACGTTTTCAATAGTGGATTCCAATGTGATTTCGGCGTCTCAAATCTCGAACCAAAAAAACAAGGAATCTCCTAAAATTGAAAATCATTGTGAAAGGGACATTCAATATTTACCAGTAAAGTCATCGGGTAAAAGGAAGAAGAAAAAAAGCTCATCCGAAGATGCTCGTGTGAATTCAAATTATCCAGATACGATAAGCGTCGTTATAAATACGAGAGGACTCCATAAAAAGCCACCCTTGGAAAGTCCTGGAGGTTTCCACCGAGAGCAGAGTGGAAATGTGCAAATGAGAAATGAAAAAGGTGGACATCCGGATGACGACGCGAGAGAATTTAATCGTGTTAATCAAAACAATCGAAGTACCAATTACGAGATGAAGAATCAAGATGAGATGACCGAGATCCCTATTAATGGCAAACATTTAGGTGCTTCGTTAATTAACCGATCATACCAAACTGACTTCGATTTAAATAATAGTTATTCGAATGGGAACCTTATCCCCAAAAATAATGGACGAAATAACGACGATTATGTGCAACGTTCCGAATTGAGTTCATCATTTGAAAAAGACATTCGGTATCAAAAAGTCAGGTCTAATAATAACTTCGGCGATGGTGCGTGTTCTTTGCAATCAAAATTTTTTATGATCTCACATTTAATCCTTTCCAATATTAACCTCAGAAAATGCACCCCGAGAGCAAGGTCAATTCGTGCGGGATTGTACAAAATCAGATTTCACCAAAAATTCATAGCAAGTATCAATAATATTGGTTTTAAGACTAAGTTATATTATAAATGTTATTTATCATTCCGATTTTTGACTTATAATTGTAAAAGCCATGGACATGCTTTGAGGGATGACAGGACATATCGAACTAAAGATCACCTGTAAAATTTTGGGTTTAACTTGATCGTTATTTTTTAGTCTTAGAATCCATTAATATTTATTAATTTTTTATAAATTACAGTCACAGTTCTTCAACAAACGGATGCCTGGAAAGAAATTATGACGAGTGCTTAGATCGTCGTAGTGAATCCATCATGCGTCATTCAAAAAACGGATACCTGGAAAGAAATTATGACGAGTGCTTAGATCGTCGTAGTGAATCCATCATGCGTCATAATTATTTTGGATATTCTAATGAGAAAGATAACTCGAGCTATCGAAATTCAACTTATGAGAAAAAAAGGTAAGAAAGTGGTATTATCAATGAAAAAATGAGCATGTTGTTCATCTCATGGTTCCTTAACTTTTATTCACAACCTAGCTATCGAGCTCAAGAATTAGATAGTCGAGGAAACCATCAGTCCAACACCGATGTTAGTGATGATGACACTTCCGAATCTTTGTCGGTAAGAGGGGGAAGTTTTCGGGACGATGAGTACTCCTCGTTCTCTGATCGACAAAACAACAATAGCGAAGATAATTATTCTGCCAAGCTTGAAACAACCGGAAGGCCAAAGATTAATAAAAGAGCATCGTTTCACAATGAATTCGCCTCGATTCCGAGAGACAAAAATGAAAGGAAACAGCTCGGGCGCAGGAAGAGTATGGATGCTTGGAAATCTGGTGGAATTCGTAGATAATAGCATTC